ATGCCAGACTACCCGAGCAACTGCGCTGGACACCAGCCAATATTGCGACAGCTCCATTTTCGTTCTTCCTGTTGCACCAACAGTATCACGCGAGTCTGATTTTGCTACACCGACCGTTCGCATTGTATGAAGACCAAGCGGGTAACGAGACTGGACCTGACGATCATTTCTCCGCGTTGAGCAGGACAGTGTGCACCAAACACGCCATTCGCGTAGCAAGGATATACTGGCAACATCGACAGCGATTCGATACGAAGCAGATATTCGTGACAGGCATGCAACACGCAGTATGTAGCAACCAAAATCTTTCATCTCTCTTACTGACATTCTTCCGTAGGGTACAGCGGCGACCGCCCTCGTAGCAGCCTTGGCATTCATCAAAGACCCCACCTCCAGAGCCAACAACATGCAGTACCTCGAATGTCTTTCCGCCGCTCTCTCGGACATGGCATCTACCTATCAGCCCGCAGAACGGATGTCTACCGTCCTACGCGCGGTTATGGTGGAGCTACGCGGCGGCCCCGAACCCCCGAACTCTTCCTTCAACCTTTACAAGCCCGCATCCTCTACAGTACCTGCGCGAAGAGGCAGCACGATAGACATGGACGCCGACATGAACGAAACCCAGCAATGGGCCAAGAAACGGCAGACTAGCCGCGGAAGGCCCCGTGCAGGTACAGGTGGCAGCAGGAAGATGAGAACGATGAGTATGAGTACTACTATGAGTATGCCATCTGATCAAGGAAGACACGGTCTCAGCATCAAAGCTCCTCCACCACCCCGCTTTGACGACCCTGTTCAGAACAACGATGGATACGTACTGGTGACGCCGCGTTCGGAACTCGGCAGTGTCGGCTGGCCCAGCATTTCGGAGCCTCCTGAGCTGTCTCACAACATGTCTACCCCCTCGACTACTCTCTCTTCTTCCCACATGAACCGCAACTCTGGGGCTTGGATGGGCGCAGACTTCGATCCTCACGATCCAATCTCACAACTTGCTAATGCGCATTTCCCTGAGTTGAGCGCATTCGATGATCTCGGTACGGGCGGTAGCGGTGGTGTCAGTGGTGGTGCAATTGATGGAGTAAATCTGGATTTCATGCCACTGGGAGATGGGAACGAGTGGAGTCTACCCAAAGAATGGAATGGGCCGACTGATATGGATGGTTTGAGTGCTTTTGATATGTAGTGTGTGCTTGGAGCCGCGAGTATATCTGACAAGGAACTGTATTAACCCTCCTTAATATCAATGACCGCGTCCCTTCCCATACTCCCGTTCTTCTCTTTACTATGGTCCGAGTGCTCATCATCGGCCACAACGGTCCCCAATCGGGTTAGCCCACTTTCCCTCCCCTCGCCCATCCTCTCCACCATGCGCTGAATATGCGGATGCGACGGCGCAGGTCTCTGACTCGATCTCCTCCTTCCCATTCCCACCCCAACCCCCATAGGCATATGTTCAGCCCCTCTCAGCCGCAGCCGCATACCCTCTTCCGTCGACATGGTCCGGTCTACGCGCTTTGGGGGGTCCAAGTCTGTGTCATTCGGAACCTTCGATTGCGGCCTCGGTCGTAGCCATCGCCACAGTTCCTTCGTTTTCTGAGCCCATATGCTGTAGCCGTATTTCGTTGAGAGGAAGCCGATGATGCTGAAGAAGGGGATGCAGATCGTTACTAGGACGATAGCGAATGGCGTGAAGTTTGCCGGACTTTCGGGCATGTTCGTCATACCGAAGACTGAAGTCACGAATGTGAGAGGCTGTCAATGAGTTAGTTCTTTCTTTTGCGCGAGATCCGAGAGTTGTTCTGTTCACATACCATGAAGAAGAGATTGACGATGGTCAAGACTTTGATGTTGTACCCCTGGTGCACGGTGACATCTGCCAGCTCGACGGACTTCCTTGACTCTTGGATGCTAGTCCCAGAGAATAACTGCTCTTGTAAAGTTTCGATCTCATGGCGTCTTTCGTTGTTCTCTGCGATGATGGTCCTGAGCTCTTTCATTTCCCGTTCGAATTGAAGCCGCAACGTCCGCAAACGGCGCTTCCAGTGATCGTTGCGCGGCGACTCTTCGAAAAGCGGCCAGAGTGTCTTGTTTTGACCTTCCCAGATGTCGTCGGTGAAACAGTCTTCGAAAGCGTCAATCATGGATTTGATGCTGTTGTTGACGTTGCCTAAGGTTTGATGTGCGTAGAAGTATCTTCGAATCCAGGTAAAGTCCTTGTCCTCGAACAGTCGGGCTCGGCGTAACTCCTCGCTGAACAGGAAACCCAACGGTGGGGTGACTAGGTCGGTGATGCGCTTGTAGATCTCGTCGAATCGCTTCCTCGCGTCCCGATATTCCGTCAGCAAAGCATGCAGGAATGCTTCTGCACCGTTGAGATACTTGTGGCCAGTTTCGAAGGTATATGGCGTTCCGTTTGCTGGTGTCGACTTCCAGTCTGGGAAACTCTCCAGCTGTAAGACTTGCCACGGCGACCAGACATCATGCACCCATCCGAACTGTGTCTTCGCCCGTCTTCCTCTATTACGGATGCGACGTGGTTTGTCGTCATACAGTACAAGCGCAACGACTGCACTGCACCGCGAGAGTGGTATATGATGATCGGATTGGCCCGTTATTTTATCCGCACGCTGCCATTGCATTGGCTGACAGTCATCTCCAACAATGGTGTAGTATTCAAAGTTGAAGAAAAAGGTCCTTTGATGTTTAGGGTTCTGGTTGAAGGCTCGGAACATATGCGCAGATGAAGCTTCTGTTTCGACTAGATGCCGAAAGAGTTCGTCCATGTCAAAGGCATCGTTTAGCGTCAGATGAAGTGCACCGAATAAGATTGGTGAAGGTTCTCGCGCTATGGTGATACGTCCAACCACTGTCTGGTCCGGCTGCTTGCCAACATCTCTCAGTGCGTGCCAAATCTCAGTTGCCCGACTCATGTTGTTCTCAGGGCCGGTCACTTCAATCAGCTCAGGCAAACCGTTGGTTCCGACATTGTACACTTGGAAGTGTGAATAATGGCTCCGATCATCCGCTGGCCCGGGCCCCATGTGGAAGAGATGAGATTGTTTGGTGAGCTTCGCGGGATCAGAGATGATCGATGCCAGAATCTCTCTGCCATGTTCAGTCCAGTTATGCGTCTTCAAATGCTCGCGCAAATGTTCGTGGTCGAACGAATGGGACGGTAATTCGTTTTGGACGAAATAGTCGTCTTCTTCATCGCTGCTGTCGTCAGATAGCGTCGAGGTATCGGCAAAAATAGCATCGCCGCCATGTCGTGTAGATGTGCGGCGAAGTTGCGAGGCGTCGGATGGTTTGAAGGTGTCGTTCGTTGCTGATAAGCTTTTCAGTAGCGCGTCATGGGAGCGCTGGAGCGACTCTAGCTGCTTCCGAAGATCGTCAATCTCTGTCGATGCCATCTGTCGTGTTCAAAGCCGTGTGACCCGACATACAAAAGCTACTTTCGCAATCGAACTTACAAGAAGTTCTGCTTATGTCGTGCAGGATTGTTAGGATCCGGCCCCCACACTAGCGCTGCAGGAAGCCCAGCCTTTCAATTCAGCATTCGAGTTTCCCATCCAATCTTCATCTATGCCAAGGTGGAGCTAGCGTGGAGCTGGGTCCAGAGTCGCGATCAGAAGAGGGGCCATTGGCCTAATTCGTAGATGCACACCGGTCGTATGAAGGAGTTGTGAGGAAAATATGCAGCACGCCTGCTTAGGTTCGCTCACCGCCCTTTTCCAATTGGACATGCTCATGTCGCGAGCCAGTTCAGATCGAGCAATCGAGCACGAGGGCTGTCTCCCACAAAGTAAAGATGATTCCGTGTCGCGGGTACAGGCTCTTCTGGTAGCTCTGCTGCTTTGTTGAGATCTCGGGAGCGGGAAGCAGAGCGGGCGCGACCGAAGCACCGGCACCATCGAAATCACGTGACTACCACAGAGCTGACTTCTAGACTTTTCAGTGTAGTTACATTGTCTTCCTTTTGCCCAGGCGACCGTTATCTCGTAGACGACGCGACCTGACGCGACCTACTTTGCGTCCGAGACGCGTCAGGCCACGATGTCGTTTTTCTTCGGTCGCGTCATCGGCGCTCGCTTATCGATTGCCAAATTTCCTTTGCCCGTGATCTTCGTGACACCAGCCCCCTTCATTGCCCACACGAATTGAGAGGGCATGATGCCTACCCTTTCCACTTTTCTTTCGGTATCGCTGCCTGTGATTCTGGCTGCTCTAATTTACCAGCTAGGGTTGCCGGCTTTCATTAGCGAATACGTACCATCCACATTTCTTCCAGATCTCTTCGTACCCACATACTGCTATAAGTCTGTCAGAACGCTTTCGGCGGAGTTCCCGCATGCCGAGTGCTTTACCATCCACGACGGCAAATTCTCCAGTGTCTTCGTAGACAATGCAGCCCCTGATGCGGTGAAAGAATCCCGCACAGGGTACGTGTATCCTGGTTTTTGGGATGGACACGGCCACTTGATCCAGTTTGGAGAATCTCTAGATTCGGTGAGCCTCTTTGGCGCCGATTCAATGGACGAGATCAAGAGGAGACTGTTGAAGTATAAGGCAGTCCGTCCAGAAAAAGGAACTAGTGAGCAGTGGCTACGGGGCGTCGGTTGGGACCAAGCTCATTTTGAAGGGAGGTGGCCAACTGCAGTACGTTGGACCTAATGAACGCGGACGCGCTGTAGTGACCATGCTGATACTGACACTTCATCTAGGCAGATCTGGAGATAGACGAGGGGTTCAAGGATCTCTATGTTATGCTTGATCGTGTCAGTTCTCGGTACGAAGTAGGAGCGACGCATATACTGACTTCGCGCAGGTTGATGTTCATTGCATCTGTAAGTCAGCCCTGGAAATCGAGGATAAGGTTAATCTAACCCAGGGATTTCATCTTAGGGGTATCTGAAAAGGTGCTTGATCTTCTTCCGTCATTCAGTATACCTCCTGGGGGCGAAGTACCGGCAAAAGGTGTCTTCTGCGACAATGCCATGGATATCGTCCTAGAGTATTACCCAAAGCCCACCAAAGCGCGCAAAACCGAGTTCATTAAGACTGCGATGGCAGAGTTGAACAAACATGGTATTGTTGGGATGCACGATGCTGGCGTAGTGCCGGCAGATTTGGAGCTTTACGAAGAGCTCGCGGACGACTCGGACTGGACTGTGAGAGTCAATGCGATGATTGAATGCGATGTCCGGAACACGTTCTGCCCCGAGGCGGTCAGGAAAGTTTCGACTCCGAATGGCCGATTTCATGTGAAGAGCGTCAAGCTTTTCGGAGGTATGCACACCATGGCCCACTCTCAACAAGTTACTTACAGTTTGCAGATGGGGCTTTGGGCTCCTGGGGCTCAGCTATGATCGAGCCGTACAGTGACAAACCGGAGTCCTCCGGCTCTTTACTTGTCAACGCGACTACGCTGTCACGTGTGACATATGATTGGGCCGTCAAGGCAGGGTACCAAGTCAATATTCATGCTATTGGGGATCTTGCTAACAGGCTTGCGGTTGACGCGTTTGAAGCGGCGTTGAAACGCTTGTGCCCCCACGCTAACCCCCGCGACTGCCAAGCTAAACGTCGTTTCCGCATTGAGCACGCCCAAATCATCCATCCAGATGACCAGCTTAGGATGTCAGAACTTGGTATCATTGCGTCAATACAGCCCACGCACGCGACCTCTGACATGGGTTATGCCGAGAGCAGGCTGGGCCAGCAACGAACAAAAGATGAGGCGTACCGAATGCGGTCGCTCTTACCACTTCGTCCAATCCTCGGAAGCGACTTCCCAGTCGAACCCGCGAGTATCTTCGAGGGAATGTATGCGGCAATCACGCGACGAAGTCCACACACAGGACTGGACCCTAGCGGTGGCAAGGCTGGCTGGTATCCCGAAGAAAGCCTCACTTTCGAACAAGCTCTGGAGGGATTTACGGTAAACACTGCGTATGGCGCCTTCTTAGAAGGCAAAGCTGGTGTCATTGAAGCGGGGGCGTATGCTGACTGGGTTGTTCTTGACGAACAACTTGAATCGCTGGACCCAGAAGCATTGAGGAAGGTGACAGTGAAAGAGACGTGGGTGGGCGGCAAGCGAGTCTATTGACGGTCCGGCCGTGAAGATCTTGTTCGGTAGAGAGGTTGAGCGGCGAGATCTCCCTCTACCGGCCAACGCCTGACACCAGCTCGGCAAGCCATCGATGCAGCACACTCGACTGGACGGCTCGGGCGGCCGACAATCAAAAGTTTTCGAGAAAATTCGAGCGGTAGGTTGCCGGCAAGAGAGGGGTCATCGATCTGCATACTGCTGCCAGGGCTTGAGGCTGCGGGTCATAATGTGTCCCTGCTATTTGAATAACGTCTATAGGTGTGCCTTCAACCCTTTATGCCCAACATGCATTCAACCCCACACGTTGGTACTACATTGAGCATAGATCCCGCTTGTATGTCGGGCCATCCCTAGCACAACTCACTATCCCACACGACCATCAGGGTACTCAGCCAACCAGACAGACGCCATTACCGCTCAATGCGTTTGACACATGGCAAAGGCGAAAAGAGTTTTCCTAGTCTACACATGCACGCTCGTGATGATTATTCCCCCGGGCACAGCTGACAATCACAGTAGCGTATAAAACTTTGCTAAACTGATAGTTTGCATCTTGATCACACACTCAAATACAGCAGTACTACCCGACAACGGAAACAACAAGAAACACGTATACTCGTACCTCAACATGGCGACCATCGAACGTAAGTCCACTGCGGAACTGTCCAAACCCACTACCCCTGTCGGATCCCTTACCGTCACACCACCAATCACACCGAATGCGACCAGTACCGCGGCGCATCAGCTAGTTTCCGATATCAGGGAGATATACACGGTACTCAACGAACTATCGTCATTAGCGCCGTCGGAGCAAGTCAACTCTCTCCTCACACGACTCGTAAACCTCTGCGTCGTACCTTACAGCGCAGAATTTACATCATACTTTTTCCGTATACCTAACGTAGAGAGCCTTTGCTCCAGTTTGCGACCGCTATGTTCAGAAGCCGAAGGAGAGTTGGAGAAGTTCTGGGCAAAGCGCATGCTCAACGATATCAGCAGTAAGTGCGGCGCAATCACGCATCACACTTAACTACAAGTCTAACTTTATCCAGGTACAAACCCAACACCTGAGGATGTTCTGAGATCTTTCCCTTACCACCAAAATTACGTCGATCTCTCCCGCTTGGAATGTTCGACCATAGAAGCGTTCCTCCCCAGCCCACCGACCAAAATCGCTTTCATCGGCTCCGGTCCATTACCCCTGACCTCCCTCTGTTTCCTGGACCGCTACCCCACCGCGCAAGTGCACAATGTGGATCGCGATGCCTCTGCGCTTCAAGTCAGCGAATCGTTATGTAAGCGATTAGGCTATGGCAAGCGCATGAGTTTCGCTTGTGAAGACATTACCGAGGCTTCATCAAATTCTGAATGGCAATCGTGCCAGGTCGTCTTTCTTGCTGCGCTTGTTGGTACGGACACCTACACAAAGCTCAACATACTCAAAAGCATGGTGAAGAAGCTGGCGCCAGGTACATTGGTGGTGGCGAGAAGTGCCCAAGGCATGCGGAGTGTGTTGTATCCGGTATGCTTGCACCAACCTTAAATTCAGTCAGTTTAAAACGTGAGAATTAACGAAAGTACAGATACTGGAGCTGTCCGAAGACCTCCAATCCATCGGTGTCGAGATCCTCGCCGAAGTACACCCGTGGACTAAAGTCGTCAATTCTGTTATTGTTCTACGCGTCAAATGATCACGATCGCGGGTCACTGGTACAAGTCAGCTTGTGGTACATATTTGCTCCGTTTATCAGTTCACACAGTGTATTTGCATACTTTGCGGCGTGTGCGGCACTTCCCCACAACGACATTACGAATCGAAGCGAAAGGGGATTTTACGATCTGTGCATAACACGACTGGCTTTTTTCCCCCGCGATATGTTTATTCGCGCATGTCAACCTCAAAGATGTGACCCTAGTTGTGGATGTCAATGTATGCGAATGGTTCTGGCACTATTTCTCTACAGTGATCGCGTTCTCGTTTCGGTACTTCGTACGAATAGCATGCCATCCTCAAGTCAATTTGCAAAGAACAGCTCTAATTTTGACAGTATATTCATTGTGAGACTAAAGGATGCCAAAAGAGACGGCATTTGGGAAAGACTTGGTGTTAACACAAGTAGATATCTTCGCGTCATCATGAGCTAACTGCTCCACACATATTATAGTCGTTTCATGCGAACAAAAAGCACCTGGGTATCCAACTATCGAGCGGCTCAGCCTCCTCCACACTGGCCTACACTAAAGACGCAAACGAAATCCTGATTTTCGGCCGTTAAAGACATTCCCATTACCGAGACCGGCGAGGTCCTTCTCCATTCTCTAAGTGCGGACTTGCCCAGTCGATTTCAGGGTTATACATCTTGGGACTCCCGCCGCTCTTGGAGTTGGAGCTACTTCCTGCCTCTCCGACATCATTGGTGACAGTGACTTGTACGTCTGTGCTCTTCATGATACCAGAGCCTTTTTGATCGTCGTCTAGAATGGCCCGATCGCTCTCGTCGTCACCGTCGAGGATGCTTTCGCCGGGTAGCCTAGAGTGATAGGCTTTGCTTCCTTGGAAGTTCTTCATGTGAATGCTGTTTCCATGTGCGGCGCTAGAGTTTCCATAACCGTAGTGTGGCGTTTTGCCCGAGCCTGTCAACGTCGAGGGCATGAACTTCTTGAAAAGGTGATCGAATGCTTTGCGGAGCGGAGGGAGGGACGCGATGAGGATGCCGATGGAGAGTTCGGAGCTGGACCAGATGGTCAGGTTCACGCCATCCCACGTTGGGTCTTGCGTCTTGGTGATGGCCTTGAGTTCGATGGTCTTGAAGATTGAGCATATCGTTGCACTACGAGACGTCAGTGGCGGCTCACTTACAGTGACTGTGAACTCTGTTTACTTACGGGATACTCAGCAGGAAAACGATGCGGATGCCCAGTTGAGTTCGACTGTTCAACTGGACGCGCGATAGATAGATCAGGGGCGCAGCCATGTACACTACGTCAGTGATGATGTTGCTGATACCCTGGGTATAGGACAGCGCGAGTGTGCCCTTTGCCCAGCAATGGCTCTCCCCGGTAAACCCGAAGTTCCAGTTCCGTTCCAGGGGTGTGCATCCGAATAGCGTCAAGACCGGTGCAAGGAAGTTGAAGGCAGTCACCATCAAGATCGAGAGCCAAACAATGACCTGATACAATCTGGAGAAGTTCAGGACGAGTAGCCATGCGCAAATAGACCATTTCAGAAAAGCAACGGCAATGATGTCTGGAAGTCGTATGTCAGCAACGAAAAGGAGGGAACGTGAAGTGTAGACTCACTGACGATCTGTGTGATCCAGAGATGATAACTGTATGTTCTGAGATTCGGGAAGACCGTTGGGTCCATGATGTGGCGCCCAAGGCCATTGTTGACGACAACCTGGTTCAGTGATGTCGCTGTGATGTTGAGAGCCTGCAGGACTCATGTCAGCGCCGAATTCCACAGAGTCGGGACGATCTTAGGGCTGGGGGGAGACTCACAGTGGCTATGATCAACAAGTAATCACAGGCAATGAACTTGCGCGATCGCAGTCCGTACACGACTCTCCATACCAAGAAAGCGGTGCTGATCACCGTTAAGCTCCATACCGGGATGAGAATCTTCAAGCGTTGGTCCGGCCATTCTTGTGTACCTGCGTCCATGATGCACTGCAGCGGGGTCGTTCGATCGAGATGCGGAATGGCATGGATCGCAAAAGTCACAATCGGTGAACAAGAGGAAAAAGCAAACAGCCACTCAATGATCGGGAGTGCCCCGGGGTTTTCAAGTATATTCCTTCGCGCCACTCATCTCTTGCGTCGGCCGTTCTGGTTCAAGACGGGCGAAGCGAAAGCTAAACAGCACGGTCGCGGGTGACGGGAGAAGGCCGCCAGATCGATCACAGAAGGTGCACTCGCTCGAGACCGACTTTCGAAACAATCCAACACGGGGATATCTAGCTGTACATCCTAGGGTGACGGTCGCCGAGCTGATCTGGCAGTGATGCCGCATAAATTGAGGCCCCACATGCTGCATATTTAACCCATTGTCACCCAATGAGAACGACAGTCAGGGTGGGCGGGAAATCATGAATCAAGCGTACACTTTAGAAGTACAACCGAACAGGTCACACCATGTAGAGTTGCGATTGTGGCTATGTGTGCGCATGAGAACTTTTGCATAGGGCGACGCATGTTGTAGATCTTGTTGCAGATCCCAGGCCCGCCTACCATGGTCGCAACGCTGGTGGAACACTGAATGGGTGCATTGGTCCAATGGGTCAGAGAGCGAACGTGCGATCTTGCATCGTCTGACGGTTCTCGGGGTTGCCGCATGGACGTTGCGCAATCTTTCGTCTATCGCACCATGAGATGGGAATGGTGGAAGAGGTGGTAGCGAGTGTCAGGCCAAACAGCGCTAGAGAAGCTAGTGCGGTTAGCGCATGAGCTAAATGCAGGGCGAATTCTCCGCATACTGGAACTCACCGGTAGAGCGAACCGAAGCCACCTTTCACGGGACTAGCTGCCTAAGATCTTCTTCTCTTTCTAGCGCTCTACTTAGTGACAAAAAGAAGAATCCATCGAGTGCGCTGCAACATCGCCTTCCCTATCGTCGCCTGCCAAGTGTCGCAATGTCATGTCAACGTGCGGCTGAGCCCTAAGAGAAGGTACTTCATCCTCCTTCCTCGGGCTCTTCTCGTTGGCCCGCATGTGTGGGCCGACCGGCAATCGGCCCTAAGACTCAATGTACAGGGAAGAACGCAGAACATTGAGCTGAAGGGGGCCGGGTCTTTACTACTCCGCGGGCCGCCTGACTCAGTATCCTGACGCAACTCCAGCCGTGCAGAGGGAGTCCGTGGTGCGCCCATGAGAATATATCTTTCCGATATTCATGTTGCATACGGGTTTCGACTACGACAACGTGGAAATCGCCGCGCTGGTATTCCTCACCACGGACGAAGACACCATAAAGCTATCGAAACGGCAGAAGAGAATGAAATGATACGCGGATCGGAAGCTTAGCGGTATGTTTCCTGCAAGCGAGGTGGCCATCGATCCCGAATCGCGTCCACTCTCCGAAATCATGGTACCTGGTTCCCCGAGATGGTCTCAGATGGCGAATCAAGGATCGAGGTCTCTTGGTGGCCTTATTACACTGCATATCCCGCAGCAATGTACCTGCCGTGTTCCAGAGGGGCGGCATCCTTTGCTGCAGTCCTTTGCAAAATCTCCGAAGCCATAATGCGTTCTTACAAAGTGCCTACCCCAGCTTTTTAACATGTACGCCGCTGCCGTCGCCAGAGCTGTAGCTCAAACTCAATCACATGCTGGTCTGGGGCCGAGGACATCTGTCCATGTCTTGTCTCCCGTCCAAAAGTGGGGCGTACCTCCGGCAAGAACACCATGAATCGCTGACTCGGTCCTTCTGTACGATGCGCTCTCTACGAGCCGCAGAGATTTTCATTGGCCCACATCAACATCAGACCACCGAACGTACCTCGCTTCCATGTTCACTGCTGCTGCGGCTGGCCGGTCATGAGCCTGATCTCTCTGGTGGAAGAACGTTAGCACCCCGGCCCCGGACCGCAACGGAGCCCACAAGTCCCTGATGTTCACCGGGAGTCAGGGAGTTGTGATTGCACGATCCGTATGCGGCCTGTTTATAGGTTCAGATTACTGAACCCCTACCAGAAGGATTGAGGTCCGCATTCTAGAACGAATCTGTACATGGCAACCGCCAGCGCCGCGCCACGGCATACAAACAATTTACCAGACTATTGTTCGCCCTCGCGGTATTAGTGGGTCGATCAATTCCTGGATGAATTCGGTAAGATAACACCGCAATGTAGGCTTTCCCACGTGGCGAACATGTTCTCGGCCAATGCGAGCAGCGAGTAAGTACTCTGTTCGGTCCGTATAAAGCATCTAGTGGCTGCACACCCTCACAGGTTCATTGCAGCGCGCATCCAAATTTACTTTCGTTTAAACTTAATATTTTGGACCTTCAAGATGCCTGTTTTCTCTAGGTTAGCCGTTGCTGTTCAGCTCTTTGCTGTAATCCTGTCGCCAGTTCTTGGTGCCGCCGCTAAGCCCCAGTATGACTATGTCATTGTCGGAGGCGGTGTCACTGGATTGATTGTTGCCAACCGCATCACCGAGGACAAGAGCAGTATGTATTTCAGACCCACAGCTTGTCTAAAATTTTACTAACAGCAGCCCCAGAGACTGTCCTTGTCGTTGAAGCAGGTGACAACGTCGATACCGATGCGACCAAGATCCCATACAAGGCCAATGACTTGACCTCTGCGGCTGGTTTGATCTGGGAGAACATCAATTCCCTACCCGAGCCAGCTATCGGCAACACATCGTACCAGGTTGTTGTTGCCAAGGTCCTCGGTGGTGGATCTGTCATCAATGGCATGGTCTACGACCGCGGCTCAGCTGCCGACTACGATGCGTGGGAGGCTCTTGGCAACAAAGGATGGGGTTGGAAGGGAATGGAAGAGGCCTTCATCAAGGGTACCACTTTCCAACCTCCCACTCCCGATGTTGTCAAAGACTTCAACATCACTTGGGATGAGTCGACCTACGGTAACGGACCGTTGACCGTCTCAATCACATCCAACCAATATGAGGATATCAAGGACTACTGGGCGGCGTGGAAGGCCACTGGTATCTACATCCCAGAGGATGGAAACGCCGGCGAAGCCTACGGTCCTTCTTGGTACGCCAACACCATGGACGCGACCACCGGACGCCGCGCACATGCTCGCTACGCATACTACGACCCCATCCAGACTCGCGCCAACCTCCACATCCTCACAGGCACCACCGCCGACAAGATCATCTTTGACAACAAGAAGAAGCCGCTCATGGCTACTGGCATTGAGGTTACTGACAAGACTGGAAAGACTTCCACCTTTTACGCGAAGAAAGAGGTCGTCCTCGCTGCGGGCGCTATCCAGACACCTAAGCTCCTCCAGCTCAGTGGCATTGGTCCCAAGTCCATTCTGAAGGCTGCCGGTATCGACGTCAAGGTTGAGCTCGATGCTGTAGGCTCCAACTTCCAGGACCACCCCTACGCCACCGTTGTCTTCAACACCACTTCCAACTACTTCCCCAACCAGAACTCGCTGATGACCAACGCGACATTCAACGCTTCGGCCTGGGAGCAGTACGTTGAGCGCAAGACTGGTCCTTACACCTACGCCCGCGGTAACGCCCTGGCTTTCATCTCCCTGCCTGACATTACCAAGGACTTCAAGTCTCTCATCAGCACCCTTAACGGCCAGACCGCCACCGACTACCTTCCTAGCATCTACAAGAACAGCAAGAAGCTCGCCAAGGGCTTTGCTAAGCAGCGTGCAGTTATTGCTGACATATTCGGTCGCAAGGATGCCGCCGTGGCCGAGTTCCCCGTTCCCGCGGACGGCTCATACGGTCTTGTCGGTGTCGAGAAGCCCCTGTCGCGTGGTACCGTCTACATCGACGCAAAGAACCCCAACGGCCCTCCCAACGTCGTCTACAACGCCTTTGTCAACCCCATCGACCGTATGGTCATGGCCGCTGGTATGCGATTCTTCCGCACCGTGTGGGCCCGCCCCGAGCTCGCCAGCCACAAGATCTCCGAGACCGTCCCAGGTGCTCAATACACCTCCGACAAGGAGATTTACGATGCCCTGCTTGCTCAGTCGATGTTGTCACCCACCCTTGCTCACCCATCTGGTTCTTGCCCGATGATGCCTGAGAGGGACGGTGGCTGTGTCAACGATAAGTTGATGGTGTACGGCACTCAGCATCTGTCTATTATTGACGCTTCTATCATTCCCATCATCCCGTCTTGCCATCTTCAGGCTACCATGTATGGTATCGGTGAGAAGGCTGCTGAGATCATCAAGTCCAGGTAGAGCGTGGTGATGGATTAAACTTCATTCTTGTATATATTTGGTTACTTTAATGTATCTAGGGACTACATAAGCTATATTCGCATGTAAAAGTCGCATTGTTCAAAATTGCTTTGAGGACTACATTCCTCCGCTCACCTTCTTTTGATGCCGCCAAGTTCAGTGAATACCTCCAGGCCACACTGAGGTCCTGTATTCTCGGGCCCTGTATGCTCGGGCTAGATGATAGTGAAGGACGTAATTGATTCGATGGCGCTTGTCCCAATGCTTCGGTGACTGCTAACAAGCTTCCGCTCGTTGAACGCGTGAGTGGGTCGGCCCCACTAGTGCCCCTCCATCCCACGGTTGCGTCACTACATTCCCAAAAGTTCAGGCTGCGCACAACTACGCGCGACGGCTACATTACCTCCGTCGCAACCACAACTATCAGCTACAAATCTACGTATACGTCGGGCTACGCTATAATGAAGCTACTCAAGAGTCAGATCGAACAGAAAACGGGCGCGGGGTTCGTCACCCTGCTGCCTGAGGAGCCAGAGGACATGGTAAGCGCGTCACAGACTGATTGCGGTGCTGGTAAATTCCAGTCCGCCAGGCGTCATCCTGTTGACTTCTGCAGTGGCACGCCTACAACCTGATCCAAGAACACGATCAAATACGCGCCAAGGCAGTTCGCCGAGTTTCGAAGACGTCTGACGCCGGCTCAACATCCTCGCAACGAATCGCTCTAGACCTCACGATAGCAGTAACCTCGACCGATTTCGATATTGGCTCCGGACAACTCCATGTGTCTGGTCGCGTAGCAAAAGAGAATGAGCACGTAAAGTTAGGGCAACATCACACATTGGATTTGGAGCTAAATCGCAAATTTACCATCGAAAAAGCCGACGGTTGGGATAGTGTCGCGTTGGAACAACTGAAAGAGGCATGCGACGCGTCGAAACGAGCGGAGCTTTGGGCTGTTGTACTGGGGGAAGGTACCGCGAACATATGCATGATCACTGAGCATCAGACAATACTACGGCAAAAGATTGAGGTCTCTGTACCCAGAAAGAGGAGAGGTGGCGTAGACGGGCACAGCAAAGGCATGGACAGGTTCTTCTCAACGACGCTTTCGACACTGCTACGACAAATAGACCTACCGAATGCCTCCAGCACACCCCAAGGCAAGACGCTGCCGCTCCTGCTCGCCAGTCCAGGCTTCGTAGCGTCGGCGTTTCTACAGTACATTAAAGAGGAGGCAACACGGACCACCAACAAGCCCCTCATGGCCCTCATACCCACGATAATCATCGCGCATTCGTCATCGGCGCACGTACACTCACTCAATGAGGTGCTCTCGTCGCCGGCGATAACGAACAAGCTGTCCGACACAAAGTTCGCGCGCGAAACGGCGCTGATGGACAAATTCAACACACTCATGCGACAAGACGACGGCCGGGCGTGGTACGGCCCGCGCGAGGTCGAGCGCGCCGTCGCCAAAGGCGCAGTTGGACGGGGTGGTGGAGTGCTAATGATCAACAACGCCCTGTTCCGCGCACAAGACGTGAAAGAGAGGAGACGATGGGTGAAGCTAGTCGACCAAGTGCGGGATGTGGAGGGTGGCGAAGTCAGGGTGCTCAGCTCATTACACGAGAGCGGGAAGCGGCTCGAAGGCCTCGGAAACGTCGCGGCCATCCTCACCTACCCACTCGAAGACCTGGATGAGGACGATGGGGACGACACAGGCGGTGTTGACGGCGAAGACGGCGAAATGATAATATAGGCGGGCGGATACATGGTCTGCCGAAGTTCGACTTGCACTCCGGATTACTTGCGAATACCTCCAGGCTCTACCCAGATACGACGACACAATATACCCATCATGATTACGTCCGCATGTATCGCGTCTTTGGCAAGTGACAAGGCGGTAAGATTGACATGGGCCCTTGCGCCACCCGCCAGTGAAACGCGACCGTGTACGCTGACCCAGCCCCCTCTAGCGCGCCCTCTGGGCAAAAAAGAGAGGAAACTTGCTGCCGTCGCCGCCCTTTGCTACTGCTGTGGTTCGAACAGACTGAATCTTGGTTGCCTTGGACTCCAAGAAATTAGCAAAAAAATGGTAGCTTCTCTTTGATTGAGCGTGTCATCCTTAGTGCAGGGGCCATGCTAATCTTCTCTGTATCGTTTCAAATTGACCAAATGCCCGAAGGCGAAGAGAAGCCCGTTTTATGACTCTATATACTCGTGCATTGTTGAAAAATCGCGTTTGGGCGAGTTTGGACATGAGACGGTGAAGTGGCGGGATATGGCTCGTGCGCGATCCGCAAAACGTGGAACGTGAGTTCAGGGGTCTCTAGGCTGCGATCGGACACGTGCAGTGACGTCGGCTGGAACTTCATAATGTTGGAATGCATAGTATTGATGGGATGCGACACTACAACATAGGAGCGGTTCTCGTAAGATGAATGCATGCGGTCACAATGAAACAAATCGAAAAACAATATCGCCGCTCCGAAGATAGATTGCTCCCTCGTTTCGCAGGAAGCGTTGTACTGTAGGTTCATCAGATGCTCCTGTCGGAGGGGCCCATGGACATCTGTTCACCAGACACCCCGTTCGCTCGAGCCGGCCGGTTCTTCAGTTAGTCAGGGTACTATACCATGGTGCCATCACGGCGGGTACATCAACCTGTAGTATGCTGCTCAAAGATATCGCCATTATGGTCTTGACGTCTAGCTTTCACTGCCCTGGAGGCGACCTACTCGGCGACACCGTGAAGAACAAAGACACAGTACGCGCTCATTAAGCTTGCAAAACGCCAGATGGCATGTTGAGCGTAGCTATATTACCTTGCGGAGGCTTTCAGAATCACAGATCCGCAAGCACAGGGAGCTGTCGCACTGGCCGCTCAAATTTGGGCCTTAGCCTCTCATCGAGACAGGTGAAGGCGAAGCTACAAGGTGAGAGACAACAAAATGCGCGAGCCGTAGGCATCTCCGCTCACATAAGTAGATGACTGAACAACGAAGTCTGGCTCTCTCTCTCTCTCTCTCTCTCTCTCTCTCTCCTCGCAACTTGTCCAGAACAGTAACATGACGTGCGACATGGAGTCCCAAGACCAATCATCCATGTACATCAGCGACCGCGAAGACGAATACAGCCGCCAGCCTGATTCTGCGTCTCAGCAGCCGCGCGCTGTTGAGCCGCCCACCCCCATATTCTTCTACGATGCCCAGGACGTCTACGGGCAACTCAGCAACATGTACCCAAGCAGCTTTAAGAATTCGATCTTTACCTACGGTCCCCCGAAGTACAGGGAATACTGCTGCGTGGAGCAGTTTTTCCAGCATGCTAAGGCGCTTTGGGCGATGGACACTGGAAGTTCAAGCAACGGTGAGGAAACCAGAATCTGACACTTAACAGGGATCCAGCGACGCGATCATGAAAACATCGGACCCCAAAAGGCACAAAGCACTGGGAAAAGAGGTCAAGAACTTAGATGTTAAAGAGTGGAACAAGGGTATGATGACGTCTTCGTGTTACAATGAAGAAATCGCTAATATGAAGCTGCAGTCTCGTACAAGGTCATGTTGAAGGCAGTTGGCTTGAAATTCACCGTCTCAGAGTCCTCTGATGCTCTCCGCGCAGTCCTCCTCGCAACCTCTGATCGCGAGATCGTCGAGGCATCAAGGGACATGACTTGGGGCTGCGGCTTGACGCTCGAGGAGGCGAGAAAGCACAAGGGCAGCTGGCCTGGAAAGAACCTTCTCGGGAAGGCGCTTATGGAGATACGTCAAGAAATAGTGGACGAAAAGGGACGCCAGACTCGCGGTTTCGCTCCGCCAAACGATGCAGTCGCGGGAGGTGAGTTATACCTTTTCGCATCCTTGTGGTTTACCATCATGAGTCTACACGAAACGTCGATGCTGCTGACGCTGGTTCCCAAAGCTAGTTCGTTGTTACGGCAGATCTCGGAGAACTGACGTACGCGCAGGACAAAGCGAAGGAACTCCACATGATGACACCTCAGAGAATGACAGGAACCTTCTGCGACTCAAGCGGAAGGCAGACTTAGTGAGGCTGCCGCAAGAGGGGGAAAGAGCGGAAAAGAGGACGAGGCAAGAGTAAGTCAACACGAAACTGGTTTTGTTCACACGCATACTGATTTGGCCCTGAGGAATTCGATCTCCAAGGCGACACAGACCGAATCGCCTACCAACACTGGACAAATCCTCGATGAGGGATTGCCTGAAAACTGGTGGGTTCCCAAGTCAGCACGCACAAAGCGATACGGTCGGGTAACGGAACATATGCGCAGATAGGTCACAGCGTTGTTGCCAAATGGACGGGGTAAAAGGTCCTAGGTGAATAGCTCGAAGCTTGAGAGCTCGATGCCGATAAAAGTTCCTCGTGCTTTGTTATGGATGTATGGTTATGACTGTAATCTTAGTGGCGATCTCGTAGTCCAGTATCACGAGTCCAAAACGCACAAGCCTCCATCAAAGCAATAAATGATGACACTCTGAGTACAAATTATGTAAGATGCATTTATGCTAGGATATGTATGTATCATTCCAAAAGAAGAAGGAGAAAGAGAAGAGAAGAAGAAGAAGAAGCGTCAAGCGACGAACGATATCATCATGGTCGTAACCAACAAAAACAGAGAACACCGTCCTAACCATCCATAAAATGCAGAAACAACAAGCAAAAAAAGAAAAAGGTATAACACGGTACCCCATCTTTCACCATCAAACACCGCCGTTGCATGCATGCCGTTACTCATCCCGATAGAACTTCTTGAAGATCAAATGCAAAAACAGATTAACGTTGACTCTGGCGACGCCGTCGCCGGCAGCCGCGCCACCCCGAGCACCTTCGCCGAAGAGATTCATAAATTGGTGGTTGTCGAATTGCGCTTGAAGGAGGCCGTCCAGAGGCACCTCGGCGAAAGCACCGGGGATCATCATGGAGCCCTGGGAACCTTGGATCTCGAAGATACCCGTTTGGTTGCTGGAGATGGTGATGTCCATGCGGTCCCATTGTCGCTCGTGGTATCCAGACCAGGAGATGAGGATGCCCTTCTCGGCCAGGTTGCGGGCGGAGTATTTGAAGGAGCCGAAGCGGTACTCGCGACCGCTGTTCTTGAGTTCACGCTGATGATTGTATTGGCGGGTGAAGGGGAGGAGGAACTTCTTCTTGCCCTTCTTCGATTGTAGCGTTACCATGGCTTGTTCGATGTAGTCGTTGTAGGACTTGAGTTGCGACTCTAGGAAATGTGCCTTCTCGTCGAGTGCGGCCAGTGTGGTGCGTACTCCCTCCAATTCCTTGGCGCGTTGTATACGTCTTCGGTGCTTGGTGCGGATGTCGACCGCGATGGCGTTGAGTAGGTCTTGGTAGTTGTTGGTGTGCGAGATGCGGCCTGCGCGTTGGAGTTGTACCATGTTCTCCAGACAGTATTGCTTGAGTGTGGGGTAGTCAAGATCAAGTACAGAGTTGGAGCCCATATCCTGCGTGTAAGTTGAAGCGGCAGAAGATCGGACTACGTTGCTCTGTTTCCGCGAACGATCTTTCCGTTGCGCGATGATCTCTTCACGGACGAGAGCGTCCCAGCGGTTCTCGTCATCGGGGGTAACCGGCTTGCACATGATCTCGGTGAGGTTGGCGCCGGTTTGGATGCGGATGATGTACAGCACGTAGCGCTTGGTCTCCATGAAGAGGGATTTGATTGCAGAGTCGGGGTCTAGAAAAGTCAGTAAGTGGGAATTGCAAGTGGAGGAAGAACTTACCCTCTTGCTCATGGTACTTGGGGTTCAGGGTCAATGTGATTTCGCTGGAGCTGACGTGCAGAAGCTCGTTCTCGTTGTTCTTGGCGCTACCGAGCTCACGGACAATTTCGCGGAGTGGGTCGTCTTGAGAGGGGCATAAACTTGGTAGATCTTCGATGACGAGGTTGTGAATAGCGAACACGTCTGCGAGCTTGATGTAGAGTGTTGGCTTGGTTCTTGCGAACAGATCGTTGAACTCGTCAATCTCGAACTGAGCTTCAGCGGCACGGACGTTGATCACGTTCGACCAGATGTCTTGTAGGCGGTCGATGGCTTCGGTGATGTAGCTGTTGAGAGGCTGCAGGTAAAGATCGTCTCCACCAAACAGCTTCCCGCAAGCGATCTGACTGAGGACCTTGGCAACAGCTCCAAGGTTTCTGTTCATCACTGGCGACAGGCCACGATCGACCACACCCCAGTGCTGAGGTTGCAATAAAGCAGGCTGGATGTAAGCCTTCCATACCCAGTGGCCGGTGATTTGTAGAAGCTGCTCTTGCGCCTCGTAGGGGAACTTCAAGCGTAGTTCTTCGAACATCTGCTGTGCGATGTACCTTACACCATATGGCATCCGATGGAGCACCTCTTCGAACATCGTAAAGTACTGGTCGGCAACATCGCGAAGATCTTGCAGGTTGTGAATGAAAGTACCACGTGTCTCGGGGTCCTTGAGTGCTACATCTCGCGAGACATTCGGGTCACGACGACTACTTTGGCCGGTACGGAGCTCCTCGTTGTTGATGGCGGAACGATAGATCTGCATCGGGTCGCTCTCCAGGTCCAGGTGCTCATTCTCAATGATGTTCTCACGAATGACAGTCCCAAGAACGTCTTTGAGGAACTTTCGGTCTCGCGGTGACCGGACGTAGTTGGCGAACAATTTGGTCCAGAAGAAGTTGCCACGAAGGTACTCATGGAGGTTCGCGCAGCCCTCAATCTCCTCCTTTAGCGATCTTGTGAGGAGCTTCAACAGCCAGTACTCTTCTCTGCGTTTCTGGGCCAATCCAAACATACTCATGGTCAGCTGCTCGATGCGCTTGCTGTCACCCTCTGCGAGACTTTGTTCACGAACGCGCCTGAAGAGTCTTGCCATGTACTGAGGCTGCGTCTGCAGAACAAAGAAAAGCTCCTGATACTGCTCCAGCTTCCGGCGCGAGTTCTTGTTGAGTGCTTTGAGATCGAAGGGGTCCTTTGACGAGATGTCCTTGCTGCTGAGTAGGGTGCCGACGTTGCCACCGAAGTGCTTCTGGTGCTTGACGACCTCATCAAGGGTGATCTTGTTCTTTACGAGCAGCGCAATCTTAATGTCCAGTTGATCGACGTACTGCTCGGCGAGCTCGTTCTGGCGCACATGCTGTACTACGGTCTTGCGAAGACGCTCGAATTCTGACGTTGCGTTAGTAAGATGTAACTAATGTAAACAAAGAGCGACTTACCAATCTCCTCATCAAAGTCGATGTCGTTGTCGTTAAGCAGATGCACAAAGTTCTTGACAGTCGACACTGGAGGGTTTGTGCCACTAGTCAAGCTCTTGTAGGCTTCACCCTGTTGACGACCACGGATAAAGCTCTGCACCTTGATGACCTTCTCCATGTTCTCCTTGTAGAACTGCTGCTTCTCTGCGAACTTCTGACGGATCATTAACCCGCGCGCCAGAGTCTGTAGCTCGACAATCGCCTCTTCGTGCTCTTCCACTTGACCGAGTTGCATACCGATTTGCATCCTGAGCAGCATACCACGTGCCACGGCTTGAAGATCGACGGTTTCTGGCTCTTGCGCGTTGAGCTCGCAAAGAGTCTCGTACGTCCGTTGACGTTGCATGAAGCCTCGGCAAGCTGATTGGAGGTCTAGAATGGTGGGCTCTTGCGCCTGAAGTGCCTTGAGATCAGAAAAGTGCCTCTGCCGCGAAAGGAAACCGCGAATGTGTGACTGAAGCGAAAGAACGTTGTCTTCTTGTTCGTGCAAGAGCGTAAGGATCTCAGTGACCTCTGCACGCATGGTGCCACCCCTTGCGACAGCTTGTAAATCGGTGATCTGAGGTACTTCGGCTTGAAGCGCCTCATGGATCTGCCTGACAGAGTTTCTCAAGACATTGGCGCGAACTTGGGACTGAAGACCAGACCAATTAACATTCGTGCTTACCAGCTTCTTCTGCATTGCGGCGTCCTTCTTCCTAGCAAGGAGACCTCGGGCAGTTGACTGCAACATTGTAATCATAGATTCGTGTTGACGAAGACCTTCCTGATCGGCACGCAGTGACTGGCGGACGCGCATTGCTCTTGAGACGGCTTGGAGTTGCGCGACCTCAGGTTCGTTCTGTTGTAGCTCAGCCCATTCCCGATCGACTTGCTGACGTAGAAGAGCGCCGCGAATCATAGCCTGCACATGCATAACGGCGGGTTCGGTATCGCGGGTTTGTTCGTATCGGTCGGACACGCGTAGTCGTTCTAGCGCTCCTCGGATGGCTGCTTGGAATTGTCGTATGCCGTGTTCGTGTCGCTCGATCTTCGATTTGGTGTACTGGACTTGCGCTCTGGCCTTGCGCCCACGGAACAGGTTCTGCACCTTCAACACCTGGGCCTCATTGGCATGCCAGAACTGTTCTTCACCCTGGAGCCTCGACCGGACCAGGAAGCCTCTCGCTGCACCTTGCAGAGTAACTGCGAAACGGCGCATGTCCATGCGGTAGGTTGAGATTTGTCGAGCCCAGTCGCCACGGATGCGTGCCTGCAAGTCTACGATGAGGTGCTCATGGTCCCAGAGCTCCTGCATCACCATTCCGAGGCGAATTCGGACGAGAGCACCGCGCATCTGAGCCTGAAGATCGAGGATGATGTCCTCGTTCTCTCCAAGCTCGCGGTCAATACGGTCTTCCTCAGATTCCACTGGTTCTGGCTCCGGCTCCGGTTCCGGCTCGACTTGGAAGTTGGCTTGCATGCCTGAGAAGTTGGGCATACTAACACCAGACTTGTCCAGACCTTTTTGTGTAGCCTCCAACTCGTGGTCCTCGAACTGGAGTTTACCGACTAGATTGCCAATTCGGAAGTCAACAATGCCTTTTCGGAACAGAAGCCATGAGAGCGCGTGAATGCAGTAGATGACCTTGGGCACATTCTTCTTCTCGTAGAGATCGACCAGTTCGAAGCGGAAGAGATCGGGGAGTTCGACTTCGGACAGGAACTTGAAGAAGTGCGCGTAGTTGTTAGAGTGTCGGTACTGTAGCTTCGGGTCGCGGAATATGCGCAGCGGTTGTCCTTTGATTGACTGAACAATCTCTGCTAGTGTTATGCCGTTTCGCAGTGCCTCCTCCAGTTCAACAACAGGCGGGAGGTCCGTCTCGATGATGTCTTCCATCCACTCCTTGGCTTCTCCAATATGACAGAGGTATTCGTAGGCCTGCAAGAACTGGCGCTGTTGGTCCATCCAATTCCGACTTGACCACGTAGACGCCGTCTTTTGTGGTGTTTCTAACCGTTGCAACCTTCTCCGTCCGTTGAGACCCACGACCTGCTGCTCCGGGGACTTGATGGCGAAGTCCTCATCGCTTCCAGCCTCGGCGAACTTGGATAGGGTTCGTAGATGTCCCGTGGATGACTTCTGGAAGCTCTTAAGTTCCGGTCGTTCCAGGTGAGTTGACAGCGGTCGGGACGAGTGGTCGCGGGTGGGCGCGCGTACGGAGTCGTTTCGCGATACTGCTAGCGATAGCGGGCGCGGTTTGGCTGTCGGCGAGGTGGAGCCATCGTACGGGGCGTAGAGGTTTTCGACACTATGTGATCGCAGGTGGCTGGAGCTTCGGGTCGGGCTAGCACTCGCGGGACGCAGGAGCTTCTCTGGCGATGGCGGATTCGAGAATGTTGCGGGGCGTAGGAGCTTTTCGGGCGATGGCGGATAGACGGGCGTCGTCGGTCGCATGTACTTGTCAGGTGACGACGGGCTCTGCTTCTCGGGCGAGGGCGGGTTCGAAGGTGCCTGCTGCAGCGGTCGCAGCGCTTTCCGCATGCTCATAAACGTGTCTGAAGGGTCTGTCTCGCCGGAGCCGAAGTAGTCCTCTGTGCGCGGGCGCGAGAGGGCAGTCGCCTCGCTCAGCCCGCGCCGGTGCGACAGCGAGCCGAAGCCGCTGGAGGCATTGCTCGACTGCGTACTTGATCGGCTCGGGGGATACTGGCCGGAGTGGTTGGAGGAGCCATTGGAGGCGGTCGATGTCTGGCGGAGCGGGGAGGGCGATGTTGCCGAGTGCCCTGGTCTCGAGCGTGGGGCAGTCAGGTAACTCATGGCGAGCGCGACAGTCGAGGGCGTTACTGCGACCCAGTCCTACACCGCATGCGTCGTACAGGACAAAGGAAGATGGTGATGGCGTTGGGGTCGGGGCTCAAGAGACCGTCATGGAGGCCCGCGATAATTACAAGAGATATGGATGCGCCTGCCGCCGAAAACAAAAATCGCGAACGAGATCAAGCGACAGTCTAAAGCCCTGCGACCAAGCGCGCACTTTTACTCTGCACGGGCGAAGAGGAATGGGAATCGGGAAAGGGAAATTGGGTATAGTAGATGAAAGGCAGCGGCGTTGAAACTGGAAGCGGACGTGTGTCGTCCAAGCTTTTGCGGATGTTTACTCAGGCTGCGAGGGCTTGCCGGCCTGTTGTCGCGCCAACCACCCCAAGAAACCCATCTCCAGCCGCGAAAATCATCCATCCCGACTCCCGTCACACGGACCGGGAATCCCTCAAAACAACATCCTAGTGCTGCATCACTGCTGCGTGTACCGTGTTTGTTGCTGCTGGATCGCCATGTCTGGACGAGCCGACCACTTCACTTCACCATCATGTCCTATCCATCGACCATCCCGGAAACCCATGTACGCGTCGCGGCCATGATGCCTGAATTGCAGGGCGACAAGGACGTCGGCGCCATCAACGGCGACAGCCCTACACGTCGCACGGTGAGCCATCGCGTCCTGAACCTGAACCTTAGCCTAGCGCACCCCTTGGAAACGTCCAATTATCGACTCGTCGACCTGTCATTATATGGGAGCTCCCAGTCGGTACCGTGCAAGTCCAAACGTCGCGCCCACCACGTGAGTGTGCTAGCGAGGTAAGAATGAAATGCACTAGATGCTATTGCTAATGAAAACGTCGTACTACCAAAAGTCTGACAACTGCGACCATTGTTGATAAATTCAACATGGATTGTGTATGCGTATTTCACGCAGGTGTCGAGTGCAGTAGGTACAGCCTGCACATCGATCCCCCTTCGGACGCGTCGTCGTCGCGCTAAAAGGCGGGGTCACCTGAAGCAGGAGCCTTGGCGAAGGAGCCCACAGAAATTCTTTCCGCGCCGCCAGTTTCTTCCAACTTTTTTCTTCTTGGGAAAGCCCTCAACTTTCCCCGGCCAGAGTCTTTTGCTGAGCACGACGGCCTGTTTCCTTCCGTGATACCCCTCTTACCCTTCTCAAGTCCCCGAGAAGTTTCTTTTTCTACCCATCATGCCCATCTCCAACGGTGACGCCATGACCAACACGGCCGCCGACGCCTTGGACTACACCAAGGCTCTTGAGATCCTCAAGAACGAGTACCCCGAGCGCGATGGCATCGACATCAAGACGCTCATCGACTCCAAGAAGAACGGCGGTCTCACCTACAATGACTTCCTCATGCTTCCTGGCTACATTGGCTTCCCTGCCGCCGAGGTCGCCCTGGACACCCCAATCACAAAGCGCATTTCTCTCAAGACGCCCTTTGTCTCCTCGCCCATGGATACCGTCACCGAGCACAACATGGCTATCCACATTGCTCTTCTTGGAGGTCTTGGTGTCATTCACCACAACTGCTCTCAGGACGACCAGGCCGAGATGGTCCGCAAGGTCAAGCGCTTCGAGAACGGCTTCATCCTGGACCCCGTCGTTATCTCCCCCAACACCACAGTCGGAGAGGCCAAGGCACTGAAGGAGAGGTGGGGCTTCGGTGGTTTCCCAGTCACTGGTAAGTCAGACTCTACACTTTTATCCCCGTGTTTGCTTTATGATGATTACCTTTTCAATTTAACTTTCGTTCATCCGCAACGATTCCGTCGTACTGTGGAGAAAATGTATCTGAAATGCCTCACAAACACTACGCTTTGTCAAATTTGTCTAGATGTATTCGCTGACAGTTGACTATAGAGAACGGCACCCTCCGCTCCAAGCTCGTCGGTATCATTACCCCCCGAGACATCCAGTTCCATGACAAGCTGGACGACCCGGTCACCGCAGTCATGTCCACGGACCTCGTAACCGCCCGCCACGGTGTTGAGCTCAAGGAGGCCAATGACATTCTGAACAAGTCCAAGAAGGGAAAGCTTCCCATCGTGGATGAGAGCTTCAACCTGATTGCGCTCCTGTCTCGCTCCGACTTGATGAAGAACCTCAACTTCCCGCTTGCGTCCAAGCTCCCACACTCCAAGCAGCTGATCGCCGCGGCTGCCATTGGCACCCGACCAGAGGACAAGATCCGTCTGCAGAAGCTCGTCGATGCCGGTCTCGACATCGTCATCCTCGACAGCAGTCAGGGAAACAGCATGTACCAGATTGAGATGATCAAGTACATCAAGGAGAAGTACTCTCAGCTCGACGTGATCGGCGGAAACGTCGTCACTCGCGAGCAGGCTGCTGGTCTCATCGCCGCTGGTGTTGACGGTCTCCGTATCGGCATGGGTAGTGGAAGTGCTTGCATTACACAAGAAGTCATGGCTGTCGGAAGGCCACAGGCCACTTCGGTGTACAATGTCACCTCTTTCGCATCGCGCTTCGGCGTGCCCTGCATCGCAGATGGCGGTATCCAGAACGTAGGACACATCGTTAAGGGTCTTGCCATGGGTGCATCGGCCGTCATGATGGGAGGCCTCCTCGCCGGTACCACTGAGTCTCCTGGTGAGTACTTTGTCAGCCGCGATGGTCAGCTCGTCAAGGCCTACCGTGGTATGGGCAGTATCGCCGCCATGGAGGATAAGAAGGCCGGTGCTGGCGCTGCCGACTCCAAGGCCAGCAACGCTGGTACCGCGCGCTACTTCTCTGAGGGTGACCGCGTGTTGGTTGCCCAAGGTGTGTCTGGATCCGTCCAGGACCGTGGCTCGATCACCAAGTTCGTGCCATACCTCATGGCTGGTGTTCAGCACTCGCTACAGGATATTGGCATCAAGAGCCTTACCGAGCTTCACGAGGGCGTTGCCAACGGCACCGTCAGGTTCGAGCTGCGCACTGCTAGTGCACAGGCTGAGGGTAACGTACACGGTCTGCACAGCTTTGACAAGAAGCTCTACTCATAGACGATTGAAGACGATATACGGAATGCATTGGGAGGGCGTTAGTGGGTGGTTGGCTGGGTTGCTAGGTTCCTTCATTAGACATGCGACACGAAGACGATTTATGTTCTTATTTTGGAGCAATGGATAGGCCAAAAGCAATGATACCACGAACTATGTTCAATTACGATCAAACTCAAAAAATCGTCATATGTTGAGTGATGCGAAGCGCTGCCGGAGTTCTGACGGCGTGTCGACTCTTGGGCACCCTGTCACTGCTTAAGCTACTTCCTAACCTCGGCACCTCCCCGCGCGTCAACACCAACCACATGCAAGCCACCATGACGCGCCGACCGCCATTGTCGGCTCCTTTTGTGGCCGGATATGCCAAAGCTGAGTTCCACTGCTCTTCTCCTGGCTAAAGGTAGAACAACTGCGTTACGCTCCTACTGCTCTGCACGCCCCGTCGCCGCAAGCTCATCGTTCTCGACATTGCAGGCGAAGCTCGGTGCGCGATCGTCAGCGTTACTACGAACTGCTTCCCATCTGAAGCTTGCTCAACTCTCCAGGACCGGCTTCCCAAAGCGCAACATGTCTTCGCCCGCAGATCATAAGCCGTCGAAGCAGGCGTCCAAGACACCACAGGTTCCACGGCCTAGCTCGAGGTATGCGATTGTCACGACGTCTACCAGTGTCGAGATGCTAACACGTATAGCGTCCTGCTCATCTCCCCAACGAATCAGGTCCTGCTCCTCCACCGCGTATCGAAAGCCTCGAGTTTCGCATCTGCCCATGTCTTCCCTGGCGGCGCCCTATCCAAAACCCACGACGGCGAGATCCCCGACGAAGACCACCCCGGAAGACATCAAGATGGGCCTGCATATCGCATGGCAGCCGTACGGGAGACATTCGAGGAATGCGGCATCCTACTCGCCAAGAGCAAAAAGACAGGGAAGCTGTTCACCGAGATAAGCGACGAAGAACGAGAGCAAGGCCGAAGAGATGTACACGGTGGAAAAATCAAATTCGGAGACTTGTTGGAGAAATGGGGTGCAGTTTCCGATACCGAAGCTTTGATTCCGTTTACTCGCTGGGTAACGCCTCCCAACGTGCCCAAACGCTTTACTACGCAGATGTACATCTATTTCCTACCCCTTGGCTCCGTATCGCCGACGAAGCACGCCGCGCCTAAGGGTACGCCGCCGTCTTCGGGATTGGAAGAGGAGGACGAGATTGTCATACCCAAGCCTACACACGATGGCGGTATTGAGCACACCGCTGCCCGCTTCCTGCCACCTAACAAATGGATTGACCTGGCGCGGCAAAACAGGATTATTCTCTTCCCACCACAGTTTCTGCTTACCTTGCTGCTGGCTCCGTACTTAGCTTCAAGTGTCACATCGCCTTCTTCACCCACACCGAGTCTGGAGGAGCTACAACTCGAGCGCGAGAAGTGTCTTGACTTCCTACAAAAGCCGCGCATGTATGACGGGAAGCCTGAAGTGTCTTTTGCTGAAGCTTGCATATCCCCACTTGCTCTGGGCAAAGGAGAGTACGGGCAGGCTGGGCAGGATGGGGTTGGCGGCGTAGATAAGAACACTGCTGTTTTGGTGCTTGATCGGCCGGGAAAAGAGATTGAAAGCCAGGGACAGGGGAGAGCGGGACTCAGGGAATGGGTTGTTACAACGAAGTTCAAGAAGGAAGGGCCACGGGATGTGGATGTTCGGAGGAGGGAGGAGGTGTTGGGGAACAAGATACAAGGGAAGCTATAGAGTTGATTATTAAACACAGGTAGCATTGCTAGTTCCTAGGTTTCTCGTCGAATCTAGGGTATCGGGAGAGCTTGGGATTTCATCTATGCCTTTCTCGATGTTCCAGCTACCTACAGTACAGTACAGTACAGTGCGTACATAGGGTGATGAAAGCTATTCCATTTATATTGTGCACTCTCCAGATTCAGCTGGATGCCGCTATAATGCGACGGTTCACACCGGAACTCCCGGCTAGTGTTCAATACTATCGGAGGAACCCCAGCTTCTGATTATCCCATCCGGCCAATCTCGGCTATGCAACAAAAGCGAATACCGAAAAGTCGCATCATCGACGTCGCCAACAACCTCTAGGGCTAGATCTACTCCACCCAACACACTAAACCCCACATTCGTCATTATTAATGCCAGCTCCACAAATCTCCGTTTGTGATGTCGGACGACGGACGGTGGAATGTTCAGGATCATATTGTTTGGATATAAAGATGCTTAGAAGCCCCGCCTCGTTTTTGGCTGGTATATTCACCTACATAACTTAACGCCTCATTATACTCTTTATCTATCTTAATTCATCTACACATTTTGAAGAGGAATTTTAACAGAAAGTGTTATCAGAATGAAGGAAGCACAAGTAGCAAAAGACCTCTCGGTCACTATCAAGGATGTTGCTGTACCTGAGCCACAAGCCAACCAAGTCGTCATTAAGGTCGTCTATTCGGGTAGTAACCCCAAAGACTGGTATGTTTAATTCCACAATCACAAATGCTACCTCCACGATCACAACGTTCACGTGACGTTTCTTCCACCACCCCATCTCTTCAATACATCGAACACCCATTAACTCATCCTCCAGGAAAATCCCCGCCTACGACATGAAGCCCAACTTCAACACCGGCGACGACATCGCCGGCTACGTCCACAGCGTCGGCGCCAACGTCTATGAGTTCAAGGTCGGAGACCGCGTCGCTTCTTTCCACGAGATGATGACACCAGGTGGTTCCTTCGCCGAGTACGCTGTAGGCTGGGCCCACACCACCTTCCACATCCCATCTTCCGTGTCCTTCGAGCAAGCAGCGACCCTACCCCTTGCTGCCATGACAGCAGCCATTGGACTGCACCAACGCATGCATTTGCCCGACCCGTGGACTCCGGCGCAAGAACCCACGCCCTTAGTCGTGTACGGTGGTGCGAGTGCAGTCGGCGCATACGCGATTAAACTAGCACAGCGCGCAAACATCCACCCCATCATTGCTGTAGCAGGAAGGGGAGAGAAGTTCGTCGAAGGACTCATCGACCGCTCAAAGGGCGACACGATTGTTGATTACCGAAAGGGAGACGAAGCGGTCGTCAAGGGCATCAAGGATGCACTCAAGGGACAGAAACTGCATTACGCATACGACGCTGTGTCGGAACACAACTCCTACACGAACATTGTGCAGGTGCTAGAGCCCACGGGCAAGATCACACTGGTTCTACCGGGTAAGACGTATGAAGGTATTCCCGAGACTGTGCAGCAGAGCCAGACGATGGTGGGCTCGGCGCACAAGGAAGATGCGGATTACGCGTTCATCATGTTCAGGTATATGGCGAGGGGCTTGGCGGAAGGCTGGTTCAGGCCGCATCCTCACGAGGTCATTCCTGGTGGTCTGCAGGGAGTAGAGACGGGTATGAAGAATCTGAGGGATGGCAAGGCAAGTGGAGTCAAGTATGTTTTCAAGATTGGAGATGAGAAGGAGAAGTTGTAAAGATCAAGATGTAGTAACAATGTAATGAAACCTGGGAGATGGTAGATGTCATCATCTATCTGACACAGTTGGGCATAAGAGATGATTGTGAAACGATGAAATGATGCTGGACCTACCGCCTACATGACAGCCGGGGAGTCTCATTCTACGTGCACTACGTATGCCGGGAGTATCTTAACTGGAATCACAGTTACAAAAGAAGTAGTATAGTAGGCTTTAAAGTATACAGGCTTACTGTTTTTGATATAAAGTAAGTACACATAGACTACAACAGACTACATAGACTTGTGAGCTGGAACACTATTGGGTACAGAAGTTGTTGTTGCTGCCACACCTACTCATGTTCCTCCTCATGAGTAACTTCGACGAAGATGTATCAGACAGCGTCGATCGTAACGACGGCCTCCCAGACCATAGCTCTTTCTGTACGGCGCTCCAATCTTGCTTCATGATGTTTGACAACGAGCTCTTCACCTGCAGTGTTGCGATCTGGGCCTGGTTCTGATCCAATTGAAACTTGGCTCGGATGATGTCGCGGACTTCTGCGCGGGTTGCTGTCGGCCTGATTGTTATCGGGAGTTCACTTGGGATGTTGTCGACCAGCCCGGTTTCTGTTAACTACTCCGTGAGCTCTCGTTGTTTAGGTAAAGGGGAAGTCATCTTCCAAGATACAAGCACTTCCAGGTTCGGTTTGGGCGGCTCGAATGTATTTGCTGCTTGGTCTGGGGCTTTGGCGGTCTTCTTTGTGCCGTCTCGCTCCCGCATCCAATGCGGGACGTGAGCTGTACTCAAACGGACCTCCTCGTCCCACTTGGCATTTTCGAACCTTGTGCTCCACACTTTGGAGCTCAAGACATAATGACGTTGAACGCGCGGCTGTATGGCTCCAAGTCACTCTCGCCGTACTTGAGGTAGGGACCGAAGCTCTTCACGCTCACGTCCGAACGGTCAAAAGCCGGTACTTGCTTTCCTGTCAGGGCCGTGAACGCGCTGACAACCTTCTTCTCCTGCTCCTGGTCGAACGGCCATTGCCCGGACGCAGCCCTCTCAACCTGTCTGCATAGCTGTGCGCATGCGAGGGCGGTTCGTTAAACGGCGTGGATATTATCGCTCTGCTTTGGGTATACGTTGATGGGGCTTGCCTCCGACTTCATTCTATCCTCCTGGTCACGGATATACTCTAGTACGTCCCTCTGGCGCACTTGGATTGCTCCGCGGTCGGTGTAAGAATTGGTATAGCATTCAGCACTAGGCTGGACAGGATGAACCTGCGGAACTCGTCCCGGCGGCCGAACATGGCGTAGGAGCCGACCTGGCCTTCGCCTTTGTGTAATTGTACGAAGGTTTTCGGATCCGTTCCGGGAGCGAGAATATCGTCATTGCCGTCGTTTTTGCGTTTCCGAGCAAACTTGAGCTTCTTCTTGGCGGGCTGACTAGAAGTTGGATCCTTTGGCGTGTCGGCTTTCTTCTTGGGGGCGGCGGCGGCACGGCTCGGGGCCTCTGGGGTTACTGGCTTCGGTGGCATGTTGACTACATCGGTGTCAGTGGGCTGAATAATAACACCGAGGCTTGCTTACCTGTGATGTTGCGGGCGCTGCGAGCTACGTAAGGGCGTTGGATAGCGCGGTCGATGCTCAGCTTGGTGATGCTAGCGGACCCAGCGCTAGGGTCAGAGTGAAGGAAAGTGCGTCAGGCTCTGCAGAACAAACGACACGTCAACCAGACTTTACATGCGCTCCGCTCGGGGAAAGCAAATCAGACTGATACCGTGTAGAAAGTAGCAGGGCCGAGGTTGCTGTTGTCGGTGGTGGAGTTTGGCTCGGTCGCTGAGGTCGCGGTCGTGCTCTATCACCTGGTGAGTGGGCGAGTGGTTCTATTATCCTTGCGAGGTTGTATTGACATGTTGTCATTGCTCCTTAGAAGTAGATATTCATCAGACATAGTTGCGCATGAGAGACGATCATGAAACGTTGAAATGATGCTAGTAACAGGAAAACTACACAATACTCGAGACACGTATACAAGTACATCCCAATGCAATCGCAGTTCAATACGCCCCAGCAACTGCCATAGGCAGGGAGATTACCCAAACACCGACCCAAGCCTTCGTTAATGCTTCTAGATGGAGTTTTCCAAGGTTTTGAGAATGAGACAGATGCACAAGAGAATGACCTGGCGCCAGAACATCGCCAAATCGTAAAGAACAGAATCAACTAGCGAGCAACGAGAAGCGAAAAAGTCGTCAAAAGCCCCAACGGTGGCGTCTCCAACCACCTAATGCCCCAATTAGCAAGAGGTAAATCAACGCCAGACGCTCTTAGAATTAGGCATGAGGCTACCTCTGGACGAAGAACCACTAGTGATCCGTACAGGGGCGCGCGCATTCAAGCTGGGTGGTGCTTCCCGTGGTCGATCGTCACCGACGTTCGCCAAGGTAGTGCGCCTTACAGCGCTCTTCATTATGGGCGTAACCCGTGGGCTGAGTACGCTGTTCTTCCAGTCAGCCTCGTGGACAGACTTGACCATGCGACGTGCTGCACCCGCGGACAGAAGAGAGTTTTCGGTGGGCGGACTACCAATAGTCGCTGCTGTCGGACTACGACGACGATGCGCTCGGTTCACAGGTACAGATCCTCCGTTTGTGGAAGAACGACGCTTGATTGCGTGTCCGATCTGTCGCGCGTCTGATGGCGTCCATTTCTCTCCCTCCGAACTGGAGTGGCCGCTGTCTCCTTCTGGCGCAGGGCCCGACGAGGCGTTCTGTACATTGCTTAAGGATGAAGTGCGAGAGTTGCTGTAGATCTCGCGGAGAGGCGACGCACCGTCGGAATCCGAGCCATATGCGTTGTTGGAACGAGATGTGGGGGATCCGTCCGAACGCTTAGACAGCGCGCCGACTGCAAAGCGCGATGAGCCCTTCAAATCTACAGAGGCTTTTGGTGGTGTAGGGATAGGCGAAGAGCCACCGCTTCCATCGTATCTTGGTATGGGGATGCCTGTCGAGTAAGTAGGTGCTGGCACTGGGGTGGAAGAATGTGTTGGCGTTCCTGCTAGGTGTTCTGGTGTTTTCTGAAATTCCGCAAGTGTACCATTCTCGGTGTCGTCCCTCCAGCGCACACCCCGCTTCGTCTTTGATGGGGACTTCTTCTTCTTCATCGGGGAGAACTGGACGCCCTTCTTGGCTCCTGCCATCAATTTTCGGCGTGGTGATGACTTCATTGGCGAAGATGTAAGATGCGGCGCGTCCGCCAGTGTTGGCAAAGCAATTGGTCGCATGGGAGACGGCTCCATGATGTTCACTGGCTTCCTCCTTTTTGGTGTGCCTCTGTGGCTTGGCTCGAAGAACTCTGTGACTGGCAGGCCACCGTCTGGCCGAATAACCTGCGAAGTCGCGTTTGTACAAGAATTCATAATCTTCGTGAGCAGCTTCCTCGCCGCTTCGACTGCTTGGGCTTCATCCATTTGGGTGATCTGGCTTAGGATTGTGACGGTCTCGATGTGCGCCTGTACCAACACCTGGACGATGGCAGCATCGCCGCCTTTTTCCATATCCAGTAGAGCATTGAGTTGTTCGCGATCTGCGTTTGATTTGAGCAGCTCGTACTCTCTTGTCAGGTTGGCAGCATCATGGCCGTCAGCATTGCCGTCCACCTCCGCCAGCGCCTTCAGTCCAACATGTAGCGCTGTGTCCATTTTGCTTGTCCAGACGGTACGCTCCAATCGCCTGTGGCAATGTTGTCGCGTTTGTTCGAGTTCTGCCGATATTCCGACTGCTGTGTCTCTCATTGCCGTGACTTGGGCGGGCATCTCCTCGTTTTCACGAACATCCTTTACGTTATCGAATGCCGCGATCCATGCCGAAATCATCGAGATGCGCTTTTCTGCCAGCTTCAAGGTTTTTGACATATTCAGCCGATCCTGGCGCTCGGGCTCAGAGTCCGCATAAGCCTGGCGCAAGCGTACCACAGCGTCTCGCAAAATGCCATCCTTCTTTTCGCTCTGCTTCTGGAACTTGACCAAGGCGCTTCCTTCGAAATCCTTCTGCTTCTTCATCAACTCCTCAATCAAATGTCTCTGCTCATCGATCTTGACAAGGTAGTCCTTTACGTGGCGGTTGACATTGTATACGTTCTTGGTGACCTTGGTCTGGATGTTCTTCGCTCGGTTGGCGTACCGCAGGGTGTTCTGCGTCTCATCGAAATGCGCGCTTGACGGACTAACACAGACTATCATGACAGTTTTGCAGTTTCCACCGAGAGAGAACTTGAGCAATCGCGTGAGTTTCGAGTTGCGGTATGGGATGTGGTTGCGCTTTCGGGGGTCGCACAGGGCGTTGATACAGCTTCCCAGCGCGAGTAAGGATTTGTTGATGTTGGCACCCTCCGTCAGACGCTCTCCACGGTTTTTTGTAGCGCTCGCGCGCTCACTACCTGCCAAGTCGATGATGCTGAGGGTAGCCATTGTGTGGGGTTCGTTGACCGAGGCATTGCGGTCCTTGGAGGAGACGTTGATTTGGAGTACGGCGTGGGATCGGGAGGAGGTAGCGTTCGCTTCGGTAGGTGACATGGTTCGGTACTCGTTGCCGCGGACAATGATGTCCATGACTTCTTGGACCTGCGGCTGTTAGACGCTTGTTCGGCAGTATGTCCCTTCTACTTACGCTCTGTGGTCGGTGGCTGGAAAGACCAGCGACAGATACAGCCTGGTTGGCATCCTCGCGGAGCATCAGGGGTTGTTTACTGCCACCCTCCACCAGCAAGTCGCGAATGGTTTCGTTGTAGATCTCCAGGTAAGAGAGAGTGATCTCGGTGACCTTTTCATCTTGTATGTCCTGGATCTTCTCAAACAGTTCTTGCATAGTCAAAAAGATAATGCCGGGCTGCTGCGATGTTCCACTGTTGGAATGTTAGCCCTCTCCAAGTAAGTAACTAGCGGTGTACGTGAACATACGTGATAGTATGCGTCTTTCCACAACCTGTCGCGCCATAGGCAAAGACAGTCGCATTGTATCCGTCCAGCACACTGTCCAGCAGGGGCTTGGTCGTGGCTTCGTACACATCGCCCTGGGAGGTAGTGTCGTCGAAGACGCGGTCGAATGCGAATGTCTGGTCCTTGGATCGCTTGCCCTGGGGTCCTATTGTTGATCGTCCAAACCGCTGAACAGCGTTGTCTTCTGGAGGGTCGAAGATTCTGGTACAAATCAGCCCTCATGCCTTGAAATGATACGTGACATCCCGTACAGGCACTTCTCATCCATGACCTTGATGACAGGCCGGATGCCCTTGTGGAGCTTCGGCGCAGGCAAGCCCGCCAGCGAACCGTCTCCGAGGAACAGCGTTTGGTCATCGTTCCTCGTGACTTGGGCTGCCTCTCGGATAGTGAAAGGGCGGACTCGTACGGTGACGGAGATGGAAGACGCGCCCGCGGCGGCCATGATTGCGCCCAAGAAATGAAAAAAGCAGGTCAATCACACTGCGCAGCCTCCTTTGAAAGCGTGGGGAACAGCCGCGAGCGAGGGTTTGGTGTTGCGGGCTGGAGTGCTCAATGACGATGTTCCAGTCGGAACTTCTGTTATGGGACGCACGGCCGCTGGTAAACAGACAGGGATCTAAATGCGGCAACCACGACCCTGCCGCCAAGAATGCCCTCTTATCCCCACAATTTCCGACGTGGCTGCGACACCACACGCCACATCACCTGTCCTGCCAACGGGCGCACCCGACTGTCTTGCTATCATAAACGCGAACTTCGCCGACTGTGCGATCCCAGAAGAGTACCACCATTATCCTCCTTGTTTGGCAAGCCCAATCCGCTCCTTTTTCTTGTCGTGAGTTGCGTAAAGGGGCAAGTGGAGCATCACACCAGGTGGAGAGTAAAATGAGAGATGCGCATCTCATAAAAGGATTCAACTATCATGCAAACATCAAACATGCGTCCGGCATATCTTCGTAAACTCCATTCCCCGACTAACACCGCCTCCACCTCAAGTCCTCAATCCTCACCACCCAAGGCCCGTTCACACTAATCCAGCTGATCCAATGTCTCGGCCTACATCAACCGCAATCAGTTTCTACTGCTTGGGTGGTGTGCACTTCTGCCACTGCACGTACACGACTTGGGTGAATTTGAGATCGGTAGAGTCAGTGGTGAGGAGGCCAGTGGCGCTGGCGTTGCTGCTGGTCAGGCGGACCTGCGAGTTGATGTTGAGCATGCCGTTGGTGCCGCATGGCGCCCACACGACTGAGGTGCTGTCCGCCTCGTCGTGCTTGAGGTAGTCGCCGTTTGTTGGCCCGTCGAACTTGTACTCAGTCGAAGTCTATTCCGGGTGTTAGCGAATTTGGTTCATGTTGGTAAGGCTAGATAGATCTCACCTGAGCAGTGTCTCCGGAGAAGTAGTAGGTAGACTTGAGAGTGCCAGAGACACCCTTCTGGATGGCGGAGTAGCCACGGTAGTCGGCGGACAAAATGGAGTACTGGAAGCCTCCTGGGTACTCAATATCGACATTCAGCTGGCAGTTCTTGCGCTGCTCAGTAACGGCGATACCGGGACCAATCGAGGCGATGTACGCGTCGAAGATGAGCGTCATAACAGTTCTGTCACTGTTGATCTGGGAGCTCATGGTGCCTTGGGGGCAACCAGTTCCTCCATAGCTGACACCGCGAATCTTGACCTGTGTTGCGTGAGTAGATGGTCTCGGAAATCCCCATTTGAGCTTCTTGTACCTGACCGGGTGGTGGAGCGTCACCAAGCTCGACATTAGGGAACGCAGGGGCTGCTGCCGCGAGAGGAAGGAGAGCAAGGAGCCACTTCATGTTGATAGTTTGGAAAGATGGTCTTCGGAGAATGCTAGATGGAGAGCTGATGATGTGGTAGATGAAACCGAGAGTAGAAGCTGGATGAGGATCATGGAAGGGAATATGGACCAGGTTATATACCAGTCCCTCGGCGCCAGCCTTTTACCTTTGATTGTCTTAACCACTACTGCGGCAACACCATCTTGGGCGATATCTACAATCCGACCACGATAACAGCTGCCAAGTGCCAATGGCACTATCGAGTACGATTGGACCGGCGGGCCGCCCATGCTCATAGGTCCAGAATCGCAGAAGTTGCTCAGCTGAGTTCGTGTTTTCCGCTTAGCTGAAGCATTGTTCCGTCTCCATACATCCTGAGCAAGCCTCCAGGCTAAGTATCGGTATCTGGGGTATGCGATAGTCTAATTCCGCCGTGCATCTCGCTTCCAGCTGCAATTCTAACCCGAATCACAGCAACGGAGCATCTTCATTCGAGCTTTCCGGGCGCGAGGAGATTGAACCCTGAATCGTGGCGGCTCTTTGAATATCGTACGTCTGCGCCACCAGGTGGTGCAGTATGCGTGAAACTCTCGGCATCACCAATGCCAATGTCTTTTGGCGAGGTTTGCTAACATGCGAGTATCACGAATTCTTGCACGACTTGGTGGCGCCGTATGCAACCTACCCGGAAACCGAGTGCCGGCGGTACAGCTGCTGAAAGTAAGAGCACATCCGTCGCGTGGCCATATAGATTCTCTTGATAGCGAATACGAAACCCAGATTCGCGGCCAACGAGGTATACCGTAGCCATTTCATATCAGATGACGGCTAGGGTACCAAATTTTCTTCGCACAAGCGAGTCGCTGTGGGCTCGAGCCGGTTCCTCGCATAGGTTTTGGCCAGCCCAGTGGATGTAGATATGAAAGCGAGATGAGTCCAGCATATTTGCCTGGGGTGCAGAACTCAGAATAGAAACGGCGGGCCTGGATGCTGGGTATAGGCAGTCCATGAAGCTGACCGAGAAGCAAACAAGCTCATCCGGATATTGTCTTTCATCTATAGATCCTGTATGTAATGCAGCAACGGAACATGTGCGGAAGCGAAGACTGAAAATAGTTTCCCTGCCTGGAACGAGCGGCATAGTACTGCGAGGGTATCGTGGACGTCCAATTCAGAAGATCTGGAGAAGTGAGGAGTTCTTGGCGCGTAGATTAACCTTATATTAAAGCTTGTCGTTCCATCGGTGCTCGAGGCCCTGACTTGATCAATTTTAGCGAACACGATTTGCTGCCCTTGCAGATGTAAGGTCTAGAGATGCATCTAAAAATAATATTAGAAGAGTTAGTCAAGTGCATGCATCAAGCAGCTGTTCGACGCACGTGGTGGCTCGGAGCGACGCCACGACCAAGGATGCATCGTATGAGCCTAGATTCAACTACTGCCGGTTCAGCAACGCGGGATGTAACCGGTGCAAGGCTTTCAGGCGAAATAGATTGACAATTGATTACGCGCATCGTGTCAGGGTGATTCGACCAAAGCTGTCAGCCGGACCTGACTTGGAGGGTAGGACTATGGGACTGTCAGTTGAGTGCGGAAACAGCAAGCTGACTGTGTATGCTTGATACACGACATTCGTAAAGCTGTACGTGCAACTCTGGGCTGAGACAGAGTCCGGTACTACAAGAGGGGGAACGAGGAGGCCTCTCCAGGACACTAACGCGAGTGTAATAGAATCCACGTCCCGGTCCCGCCGCCTATACGTCCCGTTTCACTCCAGCCTACTGCGCAGTGTTCTCCCGAGAGCGCAGGATGGGTCCATTGAAACATAGCCGAAATATCCAAGAGCGCGTCCTTCGGAGAGGCAGCTTTACAATCATGAATCAAGTAGCGAAGAAGCACGATATCATGCAAAGAGCAGTGCTGGAGGATTCGAGCCTGTGTTGATGCCGAAAGGCTGCAGAGACATCGGCCGCGACTTGTCCGGGTAAAGTCACGTAGCGGGGCAGGCAGAACGGCGGCACGAGAATCTCGTCAGCTACAGAATGCTTCGACGCGTCAAAGAAAGCGCGCACTGCTGTTGAAGGAGTTTGCAGAGTCGGAATAGGTGATCGATCAGAGACACGGGTTGGGCGTTCCCACCTTCGCGAAGCAGCGACCCCGCCGCCACCCATGTGGCTGAAGCGTGGCCGTGGACCCTTCGATTTGTCACGCCAAATGATGGCATCATCGCCGCGGTCCATTGCCCTTTTCCCAATCGAAGCGGCAAACTTGCGATACATAACAACTCACCATCAAAGTAAATCTCTCCTTCTCATCACATACTTTACTACCACCAAACTGAAGCTCCTCACGCTCTTCATTTTGGTCGTCACGTCTTACCTTTCCATGTCCTTTCTGACCAAATTCTTTCGCCCCTTCAGCAGTATGTCGAATGCGCCCGCGCAACCCATGAACGTGCCTTCGGGCGCGCAAACCGCCACTGTCGCTGCCGGATGTTTCTGGGGTGTCGAGCACATGTACAGGAAAGAGTACAAAGGAAAGGGTCTGTACGACGCGAGGGTCGGATATATCGGTGGTGACACAGACAACCCTGGGTACAGGGCCGTATGCAGCGGGCGCACTGGTCGTACGTATTCTTCGCTTTTGTTGCGCCACGATGCGTGACGTGATATCTGGCCATTAGCTGACTGGTAAAACAGACGCCGAAGCCCTGCAAGTCGTCTATGACCCCGAAAAAGTAACCTACCGTTCCCTCCTCGAATTCTTCTACAAGATGCACGATCCCACCACCTCCAACCGCCAAGGGCCCGATGTTGGCAGCCAATACCGATCCGCCATCTTTTACCACGATGCCGAGCAGGAGAAGATTGCGCGAGACGTTACCGACAAGGTGAACAAGCAGTGGTGGAAGGGAAGTGTCGCAACAGAGATCCTACCTGCAGGGAAATGGTGGGATGCGGAACAGTACCACCAATTGTACTTGGATCACAACCCGGGCGGCTACGAGTGCCCGAGCCACTTCTTGAGGAGTTTTCCGCCGCTATCTGACTAAATTGGGATAAGATATAATGCTATATAGGCGTCCAATCTAGAATGACATGTCTCACGGCGAATGACACCCTGTTCCATATGTGGCGATAAGTCTGAACGCTCATGATGATGATAAAATAGTCGTATATTTATGCTACCGAATATGTCTGTCTATGAAGGTGGCATGACCTCAAACGTCTGCGCTACCTCTTTCTCCCACGACAAGCGGTCCTTGCCAAAGATCTCCGCACCAGGCTTGAAGTTCTTGACACCCTCGTCCAACAATCCTGTCCTTAGGACGATGCTGTCGGGGCCGAGCGCCTCTTGCTCATGGTACACGTGTGAGGTGCAGTTCTTGCAGTAGAACTATGTAGAATCGTTAGTAAATGCTCTTTGATTGACTTCCCTTGGTAGTCCAGGGGATGACATACGCAATGAACACTCTTTCCAGAGTCACCCTTGTATGTGTATTTGCCTAGATCATCACCCTTGGTGATCTTGAGGGCCTTCTTGGGGATGATTTGGTTGAGCGTGTACGTTGAACCGGAAAGTTCTTTGCAAGTGTTGCAGTGGCTAATCAATCGTTAGCTCTGACTTGTGATGGGTTGTCGCTGGAGGAACAGAATGGCACTACTCACCACAGGATGTGTGCCTGCTGATCTTGCTGCAGGGTGGCAGTCCACTCGGTCTGCTTGCAATGGCAATGTCCCTTGAAGTCCGTCATGATGATCCGATTGGTCTCTTTAGAATTCCGTATTGAGTTTAGATGTCAGAGTATGTAAGGGAGGATGGACAACAAGGTATTCGAGAAGCCGGTAGGTATTTATATAAAGCCTACCTTGGACCCAGCGCTCGTTGCTGAGCTGGATTCCCCGCCCCTCCACCCATTTAGCGTGGTCCCTCCCTCATGCGGTTTGGAAAATGCCAGCGTATCGGCAGCTGTATTCTACATCCCGATGCGGGTATTTGTCAAAGAATTGTTGCATTAGCGGCTCCATGGTACATGATACCGGGAATGACGTTTTATGCGCCCACGGTTCATCAGTCGGGAGTTGACGCGTCGACGTGTCCGGCTCTTAACTTCTGGGTCTATGCAAGTCCAGCAACTAGGGCTTGGGCCATGCTGTCTGCGGCTCAGGATTATCTTCCCAAGATAGGAAGAGTGATGATCCGGACGCAATGATCGCATGGGCATGCATGAGGGGTAGCATGCAGACTCGCGTTGCGATCAACAACGCGAGCCACAATGACGTAAGCGGGGCAGCTACCTCCTCTGGCACTGGCTGGAGACTGCATCCGATGAATTGATGTAGAAAGTGACGTAGTGAGAAATGGTCAGACTTTGAGTTCTGGTGATGATAGCGAAGGGCTTGGCGGGATGTAGATGGAAGGAAGGAGCCCCCTTGATAATTCCAAGGCTGGCACGATCGAACGCGTAAATCTCGCGCTTGAGCAACCAACGCGCTCACGCGTCGCTTATACGTACAACATCCGTTCAGATTCTGTGTCGCAATCAAGCTGCTCTTCTGCGATACGATGCCCCAGCTTTTCTCTTATCTTAGGTGTGCAGATGGATGCAGCAGAGCTACACATGCCAACCTCCTCGTCAACACATCCTCACTCACCCTCTGGCAACGGAAGGAACGACGAGATTTAATTACGACCAAGCACTAATGGCATCTGTATGCGCGTGTGCGCCTGAAATGCTTTGGCTACACGGATAACCAGTTGATATCATGAATAACACCCTGACTCCAGCTTCCGACACTTCATCGCGCGATACTATCGCAAAATCACCAGTGCTCAACCACACCTTCTGATGCGACTTTGCTCTGTTTTCCCGTCTCATATTCCTTACCAATAGAACGCGCCCAGATCTACGAAGCTTACTGCGTCTAGCACATAGCTTATTTCCCCGCGTTCCAGCGAAGATCCAGCAGATCGTATACCTCATCTATTCCCGGACCGGAAAACCATCTGGGCGGCTC